TGTGTCATGTTGAGTGTTTACTGACAGAAAAGGTCTATTATCTTCATGTTTTCATCCATAAATCTAGCCTGATTCTCATACGTCCGAGGTCGTTCGCGGTCCCTTCCGCTTCCCTCCCTCTCAAGCGAAAGGGACCCCGAACGACCTCAGACGTCTGAGAATCAGGCTACCATATATCAAGCTAAAACACAGAAATATGAATTCGAACACTTTATTTATGAAAACAAGCAAGGGTTTGATGGCATAAATTTAAACTAAGAAACATTTTCATCGAATTTGATGAACTGTGTAGCACAATGAACTCACGGCGAAAAGCACGCTATGGATATAAACCTTTTCTTACCTCCACTTTCGCATTTATTTACCAGTTTATGACCCAAAGAGCTTTTAAATTCATTGTGAAGGACATATTTGGTCGAAATTCGTCGCCAAAAGTATTTTTTGATGGCCAAAGCCGCCACAAATTCCTTACCGCGTCCCCCTCAATTTTTGTCAGTTTTCAAAACATCGTTGCGTAAAGCATATCAATAGTTGGGGACTGAAACGAGCCCTGTAAACTATCTATTTCCTGTGGGCCAAATTTAGTGGCGATCGGAATTAACCCAATGTTTTTACGACTTTCTCAATCATAGGGCCACATGGCCCTATTTTTATAAGGGCTGTCAGAAATGAGTTGTGTAAAATTTAGGGGAGGGATTTTTTTGGCCTGCGAAAAACCGGTTCTCCTCTCAGTCCTCAACGTCTCCAGTGGCGAGGGGAGAAGAGAAACGACCGTTTTTTTTGTTTTCTTGTTTTTTTGTTTTTTTTTCAGGCTAGGGGTGTTTAACATTTTTGAAAATTAAAAAAATATATTGGATTAAAGGCTTGCTAAAAGTTAAAAACAATGAAGTGAATAATAAGTAGACAATTACCAGATAGTCCACCACCAAAACGAAGTGCCTCTGATCGCATTATTGGACTAACTGGTTTTTGTTTATACCGTTTCTACCCTAATTTATTTCCTTATAAAATCAACATCATTTCCCCAAAAAAATAACCAGAGTGCACCGGCCCCTAAACAAAACAGAGTGCAAAGAATAAAGGTCAAGTTCTCCACTCTAACGAACGTACAAGACCATGCAATACCATGCAACACACACAGCTCTAATAAACCTCTAAATTTCACAAATCCACAAACAAATAGCATCCCCAGCTGATGATTACGTGAGGGTAATACATATGAGAACAAATGGTATGGATTGAAAAAAAAAAAACAACAGCCTCTACAATACAACAATTACTACCTATTCCTCGAAGCAGATCACGTATTTATTCGTGCTTTTGACAACATTTTCTTTACTTTCTCAACATTGTAATTTCATTTTATCAGTCATATATTTTAAGTTGTTTATTTTATTTTTATTTTTGAAGAAACTTTGAGATTTTGACAACAATACAATTCTTAAAGCTCGCATTTCGAGGACCGTGGACTATCGTCGCGGGGCCGGATGGCTGTGTTCCGGTGGAGGACGAGGGAGTAGTGGGGGGAGAGGTGAACGGGTTATTTGATAAACCTGTCGCCAATATAGTTAAGCTATTGTGTAGGACAAACGAAATCCGCTATTGAGTACTCACCTGAACTGAGCTATAATAACATTTAGAAGGAGAAGGTTGACCACAATCAAGTAGATCGCAGTCATAAAAGACACTACTGTATCTCCGTAGCCATCTTTTCTTGGTGTGCCAAAAACTGTCGTCGTGTTTTCAACTGCAATAAAATCGTCAACAAATTTATATGTTGGACACACCGTCTTTTTAAAAATTATTGTATGCTGTTTATGCCTGTTTGCATTTGTTGGTTGCGAATTGAATATATTTTCTGTGAAAGTTAACCCAAATGCATTTTACAGGATAATATCCCATTTCCTCCACCCTGGGTTCCAGAGAACTTTCATGCGCATTTCCAGGTTAGGTCAAGTCTTAAGCTTAACGGTGTCCCCCGCGAAGGTGTGTCGGCTTGAGACCGACAACAAAGAATTCCGCCGTACGCGAGAAAAAACCAAGGGTACATTCCTTGCTGTACTGAAAGCAAACAGCACCTTGATTTATGAAATAAGCGGATTTAGTTTTTAGCTAACGCAATGTTTTTTGGACAGGACCTTTGCACTATGACATGCCTCAGCTATTTTTTTCAACAACAACAACATAAGCTTTATTTGCATGACTATAGTTATGTAGTTACAGTATTGCAAAAGCTTTAACATAAAAAAAAAACAAAAAACAAAGAACAAAAAAAGAAGCAAACAAACAAATCATTACAATGATAATGCAATGCAATGATTACTATAGTCAATCAAGTGTCATCAGCATGATTTGATAACAAATTATTACGTAAATCATTACATAATGAGACAAATTTCAACAAATGTGAATTTACGGAAAAATTCTGTGAATTCATCAATTTAATTATTAATTCTGTGTAAGATAACTGATTAAAGTCGACAAAATTTTGTTGGATTTGATTGTAGAATTTCTCCCTTGGGATTGAGTATTTTGGACAATGGAAGAGAAAATGAAATTCGTCTTCAATTATACCAGAGTTACAAATAGGGCAGAATCTATCGTTGCGGGAAGTTTGATTATATCTTCCAGTTTCAATCATGAGTTTGTGGTTACTTATACGAATTTTCACTAAATCTTTCCTATTAGCAGAATTTCTAATTAAGTCTAGTTAACTTGAAATTTTATAATCATGTTTAAATAAGCTGTAAAATTGTAGTTTCTTAGAATGATGGATTATATGTTGCCAATATGCAATATATTTTTGTTTTATTATATCTATATAGTGTTTGATCTTAGCTTCACTTAAATTATTAGGATCAAAATCAAGGAGGTCATAATGTTCAGATATTTTCATAAGATTATGGTAAAAGCTATTTTTACCATTACAGTGAAGTTCTAGCGAAGTACGAAAGGCTTGTTTAACAATAGTATCATCGTTTTTACGCAGAAGATACAATATGATACAATAATAAAGGATGTTTTTATAAATATTAATAATTAATGGCAACCGTCCTAATTCACTTCTACTTGCAACATTTGAAGCTTTATTGCTTATTTCTAGGTAACGCTTGCAAAACTTCAAGTGGGTTTTTTCAATGGGGGTATTGTCCTAAGCTTTAAAATCATGTTTTACATATTTTTCAAAGAAACCCTTTTCAGCACCCTCCAACCGAGATATTATAAGGGGATTGATTGATTAGAATGAAATCGATAAAGTTAAAAGTGTGTTACAAGGCTGCTTGATTCGCATAAAACAATATCACTACATTTGTTTTTTTGCATGATGCCGTTGCTTGGCACGCAAGATTTGAGCACGGGAGAGAGAAAAGTAAAACGGCTTTTAAAGTGGGTTTAGAGTCGCAGAGATTTTTTCTCAGTTAGGCATGCTTAAGCACTGCACACTGAATATTTCGTGTTATTTTACCAACTAACTTAAAATGAAATCTATTTCTCTTCCTTATGACTAAACTTGCAGGAGGTGAGTCAGTTCTAAACCTAGAAAAAACAGCCTGGCTGTTTTTCCTTATCGTCACTTAACTTTAATAGTTTGGCAATACAAATGACTACAAGTCAGGGGCACCCATCGACTGTTTTCTGTAAAATATCTGTTCGGAGAAGTAAAATTACCTAAAATTTTCTATAGCTTGAGGAAGGCTAAACATCTCTAGGTGAACGTTCCATTCACGTACAATTTTCGAAGCTTATCTAATAAATTCCCAACAACTTTCTGAGGCTTAAATTTTCGCCAAGTTAAGCTATATTTCATAGAAAAAGAAAAAAAAGAAACCTAAAATTTTCGGATTCAAAATGCGATGAAGAGAGGAATCAGAAAGATTCTCACTTAAATTTTTCATCTGAAATTTTCGTGAAAATAAACTGAAACCCTTGTGATTTCGGAAAAACTCAAGTTCCCATAGGATGACTAAACAGATACAAATTTTATGGCGCTGCTTAGAATGTATTTGAAGAGATGTAAAATTGCTCTGGATAGCCTAAAAGGTGTTTTCACTAACCGTCGTTGGGTGCACCTGAAAGGTATTAAAAGGAGAACCCTTAACAGGAAGCACTTCCCTCACTGAAGAGTTACCTAAAGCTCACTACAAGCAAAAGTTAAGCAGCTACTAAAATCATAAATGCATTGTACATAAACAAGGGGAAAACATGTGCAATAACAAATAAGAAATTAGAGAATAAGATTTAAAGTTTGAATCTTATCAGTGATTCTTTTTTTTCCCAAATCTTTGAACATATCCGAAAACTATATCTTACTAACATTTCCTTTTGAATCACCTACCATTTTCCTGTCTTTATTTAGCATGATACGTATTAGGCTTGGTCCTCAACCGTAGGTTTATAGGTATGTCCACGATTATCCCCACCTTACGGCTGAACGCACGTTGGGACATTGTTAAGAAAAACAGCCAACCGCCCACGGTCAATAATCAAAATTCAAACATGACTCCGCTTATACTTTATATATTTGGTTTTGGTTACTTTTACTCAAGTCTCTTCTGGGAATTACGAGACAATGGAATCATGAAAATCTGCATTAGGTTTCATGTTAGAAAAAAATAGATCGAACGTGGGGTAAGTGATGGTTTAGCAGCCCAGCCTTGTGGTGGGAAAAAATCGCGGGCTTATATATTGAGACACCCATCACGGCCGGAGACCGAGTGGTAGTAAATCCCATTTAATACGTCTTGATAGAATTGCTTTCTTTCCGATGAGCATTTTTGCAAGTCGATATTCCGTTCGATGTTACCTTGCTCAGTTACGCCAAGTTCTTTTTCTCAATGATATCCTAGATATATGGTGGTTGTCTCCTAAAGCAACGGCGCAGGCTAGTTGTATGCAAAGAGGATATATAACCCAAATATCAAAGCTGACATTATGGTGAGGAAGTGAACGAAAAAACTCTTTTACCGAGTGTACTGTAACGAAAGGCTAAGCTCGAAATGTCAACTTTGCAATGTGTTGCGTAAATCTTTGCAATTAACTACAAGATACGTACTAATGTCTGGAGCATCCATAAAGAGCTCTCCGTGAGCTTGAAAATAAGGCCTGAAGAATACCCGAGATACTATAGACCATGAAGAAGGCTCGTTTGGGTACAAAATAGCTTGTTGAGTAATTCCATAGGCCAGGAGAAAGACCCCCACGATGACAAGAAAATACATCAAATCCTCAGCCTTAAGTCAAACAAACAAGCAAACAAAGTTGAGAATTATTAATGCATACGGTTTAATGAATGTTCCCGGCCGGATATTGAATGCAGCCGAATGCATGACTAAACTTTATAACTGCGAATGAGAAATGCGAAAGAGCTGAGGGCAACAGCTTCCCTTAAACATTAAGGGCTTCAATAATCTCCTAATGTTGTCCTTCAGCAGCATAATTAAAAATATAAAATCATTGTTCTAGTAAGGCCTTAAACTGCTGATTAAAAAATAAAAATTACAATCCAAGCTTTCACCGATTAGCGGCATCATCAGGGATGATAAAATATTGAGCCCGGCGCTATATATCTAACCGGATTTTTGAAAACGTTACCGCCAAATGGACCTTTTCCGTCCAACAGTTTTTTTTCCGGCCCAAAACTATCTCCAAAGTAGTCATTATAAAAACTGAGAGTGCAACCATTGCTTTTTTCTCTTCTCCTCCTTTCCTTCTCGTCGCTCTTTTTCTCATTTCCTTTTGCTTCGTTACTGTGATTTTGGAACTTCTCGGGTTAAGAAACCGGCCTTTTGACGCCTTTTCACTCAAATGACTGCAAATTTTGTTAGGTTGGTTTTCAAAAAATCGGTGAGATGTTTGCATAGAATTCTGCCAACCTTTCAAACTGTTCCATTTTGAAGTGGCAAATGACTTATCAGGCCATTTGGTATCAACGCTGCTCATTTCGCACAATCTATTCTTTCTGAAGATTTCTGCCAATCTTTCAAAATGTGCCATTTTCAAGTGGCAAATGACGTTGCAGGCAATTTGGCATCAACGCTGCTTATCTTGCGGAATCTTCAAGCCGGATTTTTTAGAACGCTACCGCCAAATGGACCTTTTCCGTCCATAAATTGATCATCGAGGCGGAGGAATGTGATGAAGCGGTTTGCAGAAAGGGCTGACTGAGCAAGGTGAGACTGGCGACCTGCGACAACAGTGTCCAGTGGTGACAGTAAGGCTGAGCACTGGGGTATAACGCGAGCTAGGACTTTGTACGCACCAATAAAGGACTTAAGACTGCCAAGCGTTTCGAGGAGCTTGCTGCAAGACGCTAGGGCTGCAATTCGATGAGGGGAGGCCTGGAGGGCACCAGAGTTCCAAATCCAGCCCAAGATCACGGTGGATTTGGGGTTGATGACAGTTTTGGAAGTGGAGAGTTCGAGGTTGTACTTGGATGAACCTGAAGCACTCGTTTCCAGTTGTGCAGTAACTACCCTGGTGAGCGCGGAGAACCACAGCGCGACGCGCAGCTTGCTGTGTAGAATGATCATCAGAAGAGCCGTATGTGAAGGAGGATCCACCCGCGAGGGTAATCAGGCGTTTGGCAGGACGACCAGCGATATCACGGGCCTCCATAAAGGGGCTCCCGGCGAGGACCACTACATTCAAGTTTTCCACGACCAGACCTTCACACTGGAACACATGTTGTCCGCGAGTGAAGGAAAGGTTTCACTGATGACCTTTAGTGGGGATGATCCGTCACCCTGATAGGCGGACTGGGCACTCTTACAAATCTCAACTTTCAGCTTCTGAATAGTGGACAAGCAAATCGTGTTACCAGTGGCCCCACTTTCGATGGTAATACTGACAGGGCCGTGACGATAAAATGTGTCTAGGTAGGGGTATTGGCGTGCCTGAATTCTCAATACACTGGGGGTAGGTTGGTTTTTAGTAGGCTCAGGCTGGTAGTCCTGTGGTTCTTCCTCAGACTCATCACAATCGAAAATGCCCACGACCGGCCTAGCTTTTTCGATGAACTTTCGGTCAGTGTCAGGAAGATTAGTTCACTCGTTTAGGTAGTGGTGGAAGTCTCCGCGGCCGGCCTGTTTGCAGAGGGGGCAGGATTTAGGGCGTGTTTGGAAGCGATTGGGGGGTTTGACAATTGACAGCTTGTGCGGGCCTGCGATAGGAGGAGGGAGTGGTGCGCATTACCTTACCATCTTCAGTGGCACTGATTTCATCAAGTAAAGATTAGAGAACTTGCCAGATCTCAGGCTTGATCTCAGGCAAAGTGGGGTTAACTCTTCATCTTCAGTGAGGAGCGCTCCATGGTGTTGTATGCTGTTGCTGCGAAGGAGGTTATCCTCTGTAAAAGCCATAAATCTTTGGTAAAGATCCTTGGGTCGTTCACCGTGCTCGAGCTGGATTTCTGAAAAATCAAGGGAATGCGCTCCGGTGGCTTCGAAGCCGAAATGCATGGGTTACCAAATGGAGCCCAATAATGTTGAGTTCTTGACAATGGTGTTTCTGGAGATAACTGGACGGTAATTTGCTATTTAGCCAAAAATGAACTCAAGCATGCTCACTTTTTGTTCAGCAGTACGGCGGCTTGCATCGGGTACTGAAGAACCATCATCGGTGAAGCCGCGAAGGAGCCTGTTTTTGGTCTTCTTTAACCACGTAGCTCCCTCTAAGAGGAAAGGAGCGAACTGAGGAAAGGGTATACAAGAGGCTTTGACGCCAAAGGAAGTTACGGTCTCCGTCTCGGTAAGGCATCATTGTTTCGGTGCACGCGGAGTGTCTGCCATTAGGTCGGTCTCTGTTTATCCAGCGGATGCTATCTCTTTTTGCTTTGTCCAAACTTAGTCTCTTGCACAAAACTCGCGCGGAAAAGTTTGCTACGCAGGCTATTTTTTATACCATTTTAACCTCCAAAGTGACTTAACCCTAACGCTATTCTATTACGAGCTTAGGGTGTTAGGTTCCAAAGATTGCAAGACATTACTTTTGCAGTAATGCCACTGCAGTTGTCCCTTTCTTAAAAGGTCGCTGTCATTTTTGCGACACTTAGAAAATTTTTGACATGTTGTTGAGAGTGTTTCTATGAAAAGGAAGAAAATCGCAACCTAGGGTCAACCACTCCTCAAACTCGGAACCTTCGTATCCTAGTGTCTCTCCATTACCACACTACACTACCACACCGACCCGCCAAAATTCCGAAAAATTTAAGTAAATACACTAACAAACTGTCTTTATTAACTGTTACATCAATAACAGGTGACCTTAGCCCTTTTTGTAAATTTTAACGAAAATTCAGCTTGGGTTCCAACGTCGTTCTTTCTAAGACTATTCGAAAACATTGTTTTTTGCCCTTTTGTAACTTAATTCAGGGAATGCATTACATTTAGCATCACCAAAGGCTTGGTTACTAATGGTGGCATCGACCGTTAAAAATGGAAAAGACCGTTTACGAATGGGAAATGGGAAATGCCACTAGCCCTATATATTTTGAGAAAAAAGGACTTGATCTGATGAAAACTATCCTGTGAAATAGAAAGGTGTCTAATAGTATAAGAACCGGATTTAACAATCAGGAAACCTCCCAGCACGACATAAGTGCCTGTTCAGAGTTGGTTTCTGTAAGGTTAAACCTATCAAAACAACCATGAAGACTGATAAGCAACTGTTGCATCACGCAAAGAAAAGAATGACTCTTAACTTTTGAACAAGTACGTGGTCTAAACCGCATCATAGATAAGGGTGAAGATATTTGTTAACGAAAGCTGAATTGTTTCGTACAGAAAAAAAAAAACAGCTTTTCATCTTCACATCTACCTTGTTTGTTTGCTTGCACGGACGAAGAGAGTCCTTTCAGCCGCGACAATTCCACGCCAAAAAGCAGGGTGTCTCGTTGGGTCCACGGTCTTCCATAGTCCAATTGTGCGGTGGTACTTAGGTTTTGCGTCGCTATCATCGTATATTGATCGATCAAGGGGAAATGGTCCATTTAAGACAATACTTCGAAAAAGTACATATTCCAGAACATTTTCAAAAATAATTATAAAACATCAATTACCATGATTACCAGTTCGTGTTCGGTATTATCTCCGTATTTGACTTCATCTTTGACTAGCTTTAAAGGTATGTTCGCAGCTACTACGCCTTTGACTTCATCTTTGACGTGCATCAAAAGATAAAGTCAAATTGACCAGCCTATTTGGCAACGCCTTTGACAAGCGTTAAAGGAATAGACGCATTTGACTTCATCTTTGAAGTCAAAGTTGTTACGCAATTGACTTCGCCTTTACCAAGATCAAAGAAGTAAGGAAAGAGGTTATATATTTGGCGGCATCTTTGACGCGCGTCAAATTAAGGTAAAGTCAAAGCCGACTACCATATTTGACTTAACCTTTGACACGGGTCAAAAGTGCAGTAAATCCAATTTTTCGTCCCTTGGCAAATTGATCAAAGAAGGAAACGGTTGCTCGCAGTGGTTTCTCTCCCTTCGTAGCGCAGCGTCCGGCCAGGAGAAACCACTGCTCGCAGGGTAGCACGAAATTTGTTAAGCGTTTAAAAATGAACAGAAATCCCGGGTTTTCTCTTTGAATATGGACCTTCCCAATCGCTACCGACGGAAAAGTATAAGGTATATATTCTATGGTATAAATTCATTCAAAGATAATAAAAGTCGGCAAAAATTACGATTACATTTCAATGTCAATGAAAATCAAAGAATAAGGTTCAGACTGTTTATCTGTCTTTTCCCTCTTGTATATAAGTATAAACAGTATTTTAAACGATTCCATCATTATTGGCCAAATCTTTATTATCACAACAATCTCCTTTTTTCTTAGGCACATATTCAGAAATCTGATTAAACAAAAGGAATAAATCATAGTTTTATATTAAAATTTCAAAGCTGATGTTCAATTTGTCTGCACATTTTTATTCGTATCATTTGGAAACTTCCAAACAATGATCAAGACGATGTTGCATTTGCCAAGTCAAGGCATGTTCACTTGATAATCACTACGCAAACTTCACAAGATTGATCACAAAGTTGTAAGTTTCACTGAATTTGATATGTACAGTTGTGTAAAATTTCGTGTAATGATTTTATTAGTTGCTTAATCGTTTTTCACTTGAACAAAGAGACAAACTATTACGTCAGCCATTTCCTGTGTTTCTGAGAATTCACGCACTGATGGTAAAAACATAAATGGTGAAATGCGCTGGACTGTAGATATGGCACGAACGTCAACCATTTGTTTAAATAATAGCTTGTTAAGGGAGCGACGGTCAGGAAGTATCGACCATCGAGTGGCAAGAAGAGTTGAAAAATCGAATTCCTTCATTTTTTGTCCATAAATAGCTTTTAGGTAGATAAGTAATCTGATGTTAGTTGTTCTCGCAAAAAGCCTTTTATTTTCGAGAAAAGTAACAATATCAGTTTTCGCGGTCGGAGTCTCAAAATGGCCGTATTTTCAACCCGAAATTTGTTAACATCAACTCTCCTCGCGTTCGCAAATAAAGCCGCAAGGAGAATTTTGGGCACTTTCCATCAATAGAACAACTCTTCTTCTTTCACTAGAAGATACTTTCAAAGCAATATTAAGACTCCTTGAACTAACGTAATTCAAAAACGAAGACAGGTTTTTACGGTGGCAAAAACTTTAATTTAGTAGTTGTTTTCTACAGCATTTTTCTTCATGTGGTCCTCGTTTATTCACACATTTAGGCATTCAGCTAAAGCATACCAGAGAATTGGCTTGGGTTCCTTTAGGCAGCCTCCAAACGAAAGCATCGAAGTCCGGTAAAAATAGTGAAGTGTGACCAAAATAACTTACATTTGTATTTAACGGCTCCAAGTTTCCTCGATCGTAAAGTAACAAGACGAAATATCTTCCTGTTCCGTCATCCTTAGCGAATTACCATTGTTAAAGTCCTTATTTTTCGATAAAAAGTGAGTACCAGAAAAAGCGCGTTTGATTTTTTTCTTCTTCAAAATACTGTTGGGATCGAAAATGGCGTTGCGTTACTACCGTGATTCCGTGACTGTCATTTTGACGGCTCCGTCTCTTCAGTGCAGTCACGGAACAGACTGTCACAAAGAGTCGTCGGCTGGTAGAGTTCAGTGCATAAAACCTACACTTAAGTGCCCACTTAAGTAGGTCACTTACGAATCCGTTATGGGTACACTTACGTGTGTTGCATGGAACACACTTAGCACTCTCATAAGTTTCTGTTTTACGTGGTAACTTACGGGCTAACTTAAAGGCACACGTATCTTTTAATATAGTACTTCATTAATGACTCACTCTCTTTTTTTTAAGCTAACCATCAGTGAGTGTGAAGAAAGTTTTAAGTCGTTTCGAACACTTACTCAAAAAAATTAAATTTACATGCAGACGTTATTTTTCTTCAATATCTACTGAAAATGATAGTTCTTCTTCTTTTTTCACAACGTCGGCTTTAAAATGTACATCAGAGGTTAACAAAGCGCATTAGAACGAATAACGTGAAGAAAAAGAAATTTTTTCTCTCTCGTTAAGTTTTAGTAAAAACAGTAACGATACGGGACCTACGTAGGTCCCGTAAATTTACGTGCTATTTTTCCTGTAAAAACGTTTTTATGCAACACCTGCAATTTCTGTTGCATAAACGACACTTAAGTGAACACTTACAAAAATCGTACGTGCAACCACTTAAGTGAATTCCCTAAGTGCACCACTTAAGTAATTTAATGCAACTGACTTAAGTTACGAGTGCACGTACGCGTATCCGTAGTTGTTACGGGCGTTTTATGCAACCCGGCCCAGGGCCCAGTTGCATAAACCTGCACTTAAGTGCTCACTTAAGTAGGTCACTTACGAATCCGTTACGGGTATACTTACGGGTGTTGCATGGAACGCACTTAGCACTCTCGTAAGTTTCTGTTTTACGTGGTAACTTACGGGCTCACTTAAGGGCACACGTAACCTTGAATTGTAATAATTGTGTCTTACCATCCTGTAAATCATCACCACAATAGGTCCCATGCGTTTGCTAATGGAAAAAAAGGACAGAAGGCGCATGATCCAAAGTGCGGCATCAAAACAGTATACCAGGTGACCAACCCCGCTTGTTGGTTGGTGAAGTTTGAGTGCAAAACCAACAAAGAATGACACCGCAGCGAGCCCGTCGAGAAGGTTCCATTTACTGGAGGCCCATTCTTTAAATGTTCCCTCTAGTATCTACCATAACAGAATCAAAACATGAGAATCAGAGTTAATTGTGAAATGTTTACAGTGAATTGCCAATTTAAAAGATTAAACATCCAGGCAGCAGTTTAAATTAGAAGACACGAAAATATCCCGCTACATAATTGGACAATTTACTAGCCCGTCGTCTACTAACTACCAGCCAACCCGGCAAATGATCCATCACCACCACAACCACTACCAACAACAACAGCAACAACAACAACAAATCCGTTCAACTAAAAGATTAATCGATCAGCTAAAGAGCAGCTGAAAACTGGCTAAACTGAAACACTAACTGACTTGTATACTAACTCCTGGTATATTGCGTGATAAATAAATTGTATTTTGCCACCCACCGAAGCAACCCAAAAACCTGTTTTTTTTATAATTAAAATTAGCTTTTGTATGGTCTACAATAGGTAATGGTCTTCAATACCAGCGCCCCCTGTAGTCCATCAAGGCTTTGGCAGTGAGAAATTTTCGCTTTTATGTTCAAAAAACGAAACATGCAGGGAAACATGATCCGATAACGGATGAATAATACTAGTGATGGCAATTCCTTTACACTTGAAATCCGGCTAATTTGTGCCGAAAACCTAAATTCGAATCTAGTTCGCCGAATGAAAAGCTTGGCGTCTAAACTGGGAATAGTCGTTCCTCGCTGCCTAAGTTCCCGTCTTTGGCCTAAATTAACACACAAATTTAGGATGATTTGGATTAGGATCAGTGATCCGAGAACACTCGGAAAATGGTAGATCAAATTAAATGAACCGGCAAATTCTTGTCCAGAGTGGATTCATCGGTTCATTTGATCTACCATGATCCGAGTGATCCCGGATCACTTATCCTGATACGCATCATCTTAAAGGAAACAGCATTTACAAAAAAACGTGTCTTCTGTTTCATGTCGCAGCGATGTTGACAGAGTCAGGCCTTTACGACCGTCTCCGGGTGCATGCTGTCTCAACACCTGTATGCCCTATTCAAATGCATCTCCAGGGACCTTTCCGGCAGCGAATACTGACTCCTCAAAAGCAAGCTTACAACGGTTCCATGAGTGAAGTTCGCTGTTCCGTCGAATGGCTTTTCTCTGATATTGTAAATGATTTTAAATTTCTTGATTTCAAAAGGAATTTAAAGATAGGGCTAAGCAAAGTAGGCAAAATGTACATTGTCTGTGCAATCCTTCAAAATGTTTTGATATGCTTGTACGGTAACACAACAGTTTTTTGACCTAGATCCACCTTCTCTAGAAGATTATTTTTCCTGATCATGCCGTTTTGTAAACACCCAACATAAGACCCAAAGACTGTTCTTCGTTTATATGGGAAGGTAACAAGAAAAGTAAATTAATGTCAAATAAAACACAACGAATAACTTGCCTTTATTACGGCTGTCAGCATCAATTTTAATCCATTCATGAAAAATGTAAATTTTTAACCTTCTAAAAACGTCGAAATAAAGTCCAAACTCCAGTAACAGAACATCTAACACGGTTACAGTACTGATTGTCTTTCGCCGGATTGAAGTCTAGGCCAACTTAGTTCAAGTTTATATAACAATAAAGTAAACCGAGACCTGAAGCACCGCAAAGAATTTTAAAGAAACTGAGTTTGTTTATTTCGGAACTAGTGTTTCAATAATCTTCGTTAATGTTGTGGTTTGCTGCTGCTGCTGCTGGAGCATTAGTAAGGATTGCATGTCATGCATTTGCTTTTGCTGTTCCTGTTGTTGTTTTAACATTTGGTTGAACATATACGTTTGGGCTTCAACCCAAAATGACCTCGCCCCTATGGACTTGCCTTACCTGTCTAATTTCCTCTGTAAACAAAGAACAGACAAAGAGGATGACCACGGTCTCGACATTAGAAGGAGTTGTTGCCTGACGAACAAGAATAACATAGCTGAATAGGGCCAGAAATACAATGTAGTCAAGCTGCAGAAAACAGAAAAAAACAAAGAAATCCATTAAGAATACGGCAGTGAGGGTAGTCGTTTTCTTGAAATTTGCGGGGGTGGGGGGGGGGGGGGGGGGGGGGTTGAATAAAAAGAAAGAAAAAAGAAATATTGAAGGGACTCGACAGGGTTTTTCAGTGATGTTTTCCTTCCCACTGGAAACACAAGTATGAATTGCAGGGGAAACTTTGGGTCTAACGTTTTCATAACGGCGTTGGTGGGCCCGCGACGCCCTCTGCGAAGCCAGCAGCGGTTTACAATTTAGGTGTCGGCAGGATGCGGTTGTGGGTTTGTTGTTGGTATGGCGGTGGTCAGGGTGGTGTTGTGGGTGGGCGGGTGGGGGGGGGGGGGGGGGAGGGGGGGGGGGGTGTTGAATAAAAAGAAAGAAAAAATATATATTGAAGTGACTCGACAGGGTTTTTCAGTGATGTTTTCCTTCCCACTGTGAACACAAGTATGAATTGCAAGTGAAACTTTGAGTCTAACGTTTTCATAGCGGCGTTTGCGTGCCCGCGACGCTCGCTGCGAAGCCAACATAGCTTTAGCAATTGGAAACCTGTTGAAAAGAGAAAATTGGTTATGACTTCAAAAGCGTACAGTCGCACGCCCGTTCGTCCGTCTCTACAGCCTCTCGAAGTGGGAAGGGAGACTCTGTAAGGGATGGGAAGGGAATCTCAGACATGCACCTTGCGTCTGTCTTGGTAAAAAGAAAGCCAGCTTAGAGGTAACGAATATAGTTACTCCCTTAAAAATCTTGAGTTTTCTTGTTCTTGAATTACGGGAAAAACTTTAAAATATATATTTTTTAAGACTTTCCTTTTAGCTTGGTCACGCTTTTGCTTTGCTCCATTTTAGATTGGTCAATTTTTTTTTTCATGCTTAAATAATTTTGCAGCATCTAGACGTTTTTTTACCGACATCTAAGGCCTGGTGTATCTTTACATTTTTACCTTCCACGGCATGCTGCCACAAAATGAAATACAGCTGCTGCTAAGATTCTTCTGTTATTCAAAGCTGGTTTGTTTATTTCGTTTTTGGTCGAGGAAAGCGTCAAACATGACTAAGTCGACGGGATTCATTAATGGCTGCTTTTTTGAAAGTTTATTCAGACCGGCTATTGCAGCAGACTACAGGAAAAACCTTAAACGTTTCTGACCTCGCTAATGATCACTGGCCTTAAGGAGCTGCACCTCTCGACAGGTAGGCGTGAGTAACATTATTATATTCTTTTTCTGGCCTCACTTTGGTTGCGAAGTCGGATGGTTTATAACACACATTGAAGCTTCATAGACTTTTTTCTGGTTGAATATGGAAAGAACAAGGTCTGAGGAATACGCAGTTGTTGTATTGGTTGCAAAAAGGAAGCTTTAACCGAAATTTCTGCTTCGAGTTCCGTTCACCAAGTATTCGCCATTCCAAACGCGAAGCCGGCTAAATAATAAACAAATAAAAGGAAAGAAGGTTTTAAAAGGATTTTTAAACATTTCCTCCACACTACTTGTCCTCTTGAACAAAAAATGGCTGTGGTTGTACAAATTTCATTAAATATGCATTCATGTTTTGATTACCAGTCAAGACTTTTGCATGCTGTCCCGCTATTTTAATTTTTTTTTTTTGTGAACTTTTGAAAGATGTGTGGGGCTCTCAGAAGGGCTAGCTCTGTGCGTACTAGCGTGTGGAGAGGTTCGAAGACGTGAAAGAATTCAACAGCCAGATATTGAGCTTTGCAAAAGTTTCATTTGAAGATGTTACCACTTACTTGTGTTCCCAACTAAGATTAATTTATGCCCTTTCTGTTTTTCTGTTCGTCTTACAGTTTGGACTTTCCCCAATTTCCCAATCCTTTGTTCTTCTGATCGTATGTACTTACTTTTCTCTTTTTGGTTTTTCTGTTTAATTACGGATACCCTATCCTGTTAAGATAATTTACATGTAACTCTTCTTTTTTTTCATAGGTTAACGTCATTAGCGTGCAATTTACTAGTATATTTGAAACTTTTTTTAATAAATCCTCCTTTACAATCTTGTCTTTTATTTTAATCAAGAGAGGTAGGTTGCATGGGAGCAACTAACTATTAAAGACCTATTGTTACTTCCAGTGAGGCATTGCGCATTGATCACTTTGATTTCAACGGACGATCCCCGATTCCTCGGAAGAAGAAATTACATTTTATCTTGAGGAAGAAACGGACGTCGTGTTTGAAATTTCAGTAGTCAGTGTTTTCCTCTATCGCTTTTTCTTAAGCATATGGATTATACTCCTGTCTTATTCGAATTTTAAAAGGCGCGAATCACATCGTGTCTGCTATCCTGGCAGAAATGATGAACATTTCGGTTCAAACCGGTGTTTATCCTCCCAAGTTACAACATGCGAAAGTCATTCCAGTAAGACAGGTGACGAAACGGAACTAGACAATTATTGGCAAATTTCATTCCTATCTGTGTTTATCGACTGTTCGAAATACTGATGTCACTGGAAACGCCTCACATTCTTTATCGAAGAAAAGCGAAGTCCTTTCTAAAAAAGCGTTTGGTTTCTAAGCAGATTGTTCGACTCAATACACAATTTGGGATACTGTCAACAAAATACAAAGCAATATGGACGCAGGTTTGCACTCGTGTGGTATATCCATCGATCTCAGAAACGGCCTTCGACAGAGTTGAGCATACCGTACTATTGTGCAAATTGAGTCACTATGGTAAACGTGGAATTATTAACAATTGGTTCGATTCGTATTTGAATGACAGTCTCTAGACTAGTCAAATTGGAGCTAGCATTTCTAGCAAAGTAAAAATCTTACTTGGTGTTCCGCAAGGTTCCATCATAGGGCCGTTGTTTTCTTATTCTATATTAATGACATTTACCCTGTTTCTTCAAAACTCAATTTCTATTTATTTGCCGATGATACAAATATACTAGAAATACGTGTATCGCGGAACCTCGCGAGGCTCAGGGGGAGAGGCCTATAAAAATGGAAGGGATGCAAGGTCGGGAGATACAGTGGAACCCCGTCAGTACAGTCGCCAATGGGCCAAAAAAATTTGGCCGCATTAACGGGTGACCGTATTAACAAGGGTTTTTTTTTTACAAGAAAATGTATGGCCGTCTTGCCAGGCGGCCAAAAAACGTGGCCGTAATAACGAGGTGACCGTATTACCGAGGTGGCTGTAAGGAGGGCTTTCACTGTAAATTGAGGAAATTGTGTAGCTGGGGAGGCACTGGGCAATTATTCTTTTAATTAACATGTAGTAATCTTTAGATTTCTTTTCCAATATATCAAATTCTTTGTTATCGATTGTCGATATTAAACTTATTTCTGAGCGAAGACAATTGCTATTCTTTAAATGTTTTGGAACAGAGTGACGAAGCCCTGCCCAAATTAGGTAGTTAATCTTGCTAATTTTATTCGAAATTATAGTAAAAGAATTTGTGGTGTCTAATTCAAACAAAAGATCATTTAAGAAAATGACGTCTTGTTCAAAAAGTTTTTTTTTTTTCAGAAAACAGGCCCATTATCAACACGTATCTCTTTGTTATTCCACAAAATACATTGACATTCCCTTCTACTATCGAAAAAACTACGAAACTCAGATCACCATTGAAGTAACTACGAATAGAATTTAGAGGAAATATGTATCTCTTTAATGTCATAATTACAATGAAATAAACTGAGGGGCCCCCAAAAGGTTCCAACGAAAACCGTAAAAGCTTCTCCAAGCACCGTTGTTGCAGTGAAGATCCTTTTCAGCAAGGCTAGACGTAAAGATTTAATCATACTTTCCAGATCGATCATTTTTAAAGCACCGTTTTCATATTCGTTAATTGTGGAAAGTCTTGTCACTTTATCGGTTCCTTTGCACAAAAATTTAAATATCATTTGATTTAACTCTGTAACGATTCATCACATTTGACCCTGTTACATGTGAAATTATAGTCAAAAGGAGGAAATGGCTTGATAGAAGATAACCGCACGGTAATATTTGTATAAAAGGGTTGAGCAGTTGTTGACAGTGACTGACGTTTCGACAACCTGTGCGGTAGTCGTCTTCAGAGTCAAAGTGAGTTGTATCACGTCAGTTGATGGTATTATACTCGATCTGGTTATTGATCTGATTGGTCAATTATGTCGCGATGTTATTGGTCGTCTGTCAGTTAAGCCGTGATGTTATTGGCTATGAAGACTCGTAATCAGTGATTGGTGCGTTTCGATCCGTTTATTGTCGCAGTTAAACAGTCGTCTATTGTTAGTCAAATTGTTAGTTCTCGTTAGTTCTTGTTAACTCTCGTAGTTAGTTTTGCTTGATCTCGTCAATAAGTCGTTTGTACGGCGCTGGTAACTGTTGACTACGATTCAGTGGCGTTTGTTCTAAGTTAGTAAACCAGCTTTCTAAAGTAAGACGTTGATAGTAGTCTGCAGAATACGTTAGACATGTCGCAGAGTCCCAGTCAATTTGATGTTTCGTCTTTAAATGGTGTTCAGCAATGTGATTGTTGACGTCACCATTCCTTGTCGCGCGTTTGTGTTCGGTCAGTCGCGTGCTTAGGTTTCTGCCGGTTTCACCAATGTAAGAAGCCTGGCAGTCGCAGGTTTGTCTTTGTCCTTGACATTAGTAAGCAGTCGCCGTGAAGTGGTTATCGGTTTGTGCGCAACACGTATATTGTAAGGTTGTAATATACGTGCAATAGTTTCAGAGGTGCCTCTGATGTACGGTATAGTCGCTGTCGTAACAGGGCCAGAGTTGGTCTGAGAGTTGGAATCAGTGTTACTGTGAGTGTTCCGTCTAACAAAGTCCGTGTTGTAATTGTTCTTACTAAAAACGTTGTTAAGATAATCAGTCTCGTCTTGTAGGCTGTCAGGTGAGTCGCAAACTAGTTGCGCTCGTCTCGTCAGAGTCCGGATTTCAACCTTTTGAAATGATTCCTGGGTTCAAACCTTTCACAATATTTGTATAATTATGATGTGTGTCAGTAGTAGTGTGGATGGAATGGTAGGAGATAATGCTGCAGCGAAAACAACAAGCAAATGCTGGTAATTAGAGAGAATAGATTATTTTTCAGTGAATTATAGCTATGAGAGTGTTTGCACTTGTTTTAGTACATAATCACACTTGACAACTATTGTTTGTAACAGTAAGGTGCAAACATAATCACTAAGATAGAAATTACGTGTAGCAATGTCATTAAGGATGCAGTTCATGAGAATTATGATCATTGAATATGCGGGCCTTCATTAGCACTGAATTCCTGTAATAAATACCAATTCGTGTGCATGCGTGAGAAAGAAATACTCATGCAAAAGTGAATTTGCATTAAATGCCCGCATACAAGTCATGTTCAAGGTGATCAGTTTTGTCAGTTCTCAACATGCATGTTTGTTGAGACAAACCAGAGCCATAGTTTTTGAAATTCCCAGACTGAGTCAGTTTTACAATTTCATTGAGCGAATGAGTTGACAATTTGTCCTGATAATGTCTTCCAAACTCCTATCACAGTCATCCTCTCCACCCATTTATTACATGAATTTATCGCGAATGTAAAGTGCAGAGTGGATTGATCTTGTAGGAAAAACTATATCTGCTTGTTGTTTAATGTCTTGGAACAATATTCTGCCAATCGAATATGTTTAACTTCTGTGAATATGTCACGTTCCTCTTGACTCATAGCGGTGTTCTCTTCTCCTCTCTTTTCCGTTGCTCGAATTGAATTTTAAGTCGGCCTTCTCGCTACAGAGGAGTTCCGATGGAAAATCTTCCTGGCGAGGATTTCCAGCCACTGTGAACGGCTATTTATCGAGTTACGAGCTTGAGTTGAGTTAGAGTTGAGTTTGAGTTAAGATTGAGTCAAGTTTG